CCAGGGGGGGGTAAAGGGGGGGTGACATAATAATGTGGCACAATACAACATATACCAATTATGTAATAGTTGGGAAGATTGGATACACTGCATTATCGCCTTCGCAGAAAACGCTGCCGCTCAGCACGTCACCTCCGGACGTGGATTCTTGGGCTTACGCCACACCGCCGACCCCTTGGGGAACTGGCGGTTGTTGTGTTTTGTTCCTGAGGGCCTCTTGTGCGCCGTTTGGGGGCTTCTTGGAGTTCTTTTGGGGCTTCATCGGGGCCTCTTTGGGGGCCTTTTGCGGGGCCTCTCAGGCTGACGTTCTCAGTATTTGCCGTGCGCGAATGGGGAAACGGGCGAGAACCCACGAATACAGACGGCGGGCATCTGTCAAAAAACCCGAAGAGTGATTATCGAATGGCCTTCGGCACATCCCGCCACCGCGCCTGTGTTGCGAGTCCGAGGCCACTCGGATGGTTGATGGGGTCTCGTGAGAGAAGTCTCGGGGGCGTCTTGGAAGCTGTTTTTGAATCTCTTGGGGGCCTCCTGGGGGCTTTTTGTAGCCATCATGGGGCTCCCTGGGGGCCTTTGGGGCTTCTTGGGGCAACCCGGAGGCGTCTTGGGGTGGAAGGCTCGAAATGTCCGTTCGGGTTCCCCCTTTCTGGGCCCCCTTTAGGGGCTGTCCCGGGGCCCTCTTGGACCCTCTTGGGGGCCTCTTGGCCCATCTTGGGGCGATCTTGAAAGCCTCTTGGGCAGTCTGGGACGATGTGACCGCCCAAGTGGGGAATGTTCTGAAAATTCACCCTTCTCAAAAGGACTGGGACGATTCTTGCTTCGGGAGGCCCCCTTGGGACGCCTCTTGGAGGCTTCTTGGGACATCTTGGGGGCCCTCTGGGCCGCCTGGAGGCCAGCATGGGCGTTCTGGATGTATCTTTCAGCGACTGACGACCACCCACGCAGCTCAAATTATCAGCAGCGGGCAACAACCACCAGGACGACGGCACCAACGACACCCGCACGTTTAAGAAGCTCCAAATTCAGAAGCTGGGCGAGGGCTGCTAAAACCGTGGCTGCTAAAACGGCCCTCCCGGCAAGAAAAAACAGCTTCCCGGAATGAGGCGCGGCACGCGAAACAGTCAACGGGCTTCTTCCCGGAAGGACGAAGACAACTTCCCGGAGGCCGATTTTAGCAGCCACGGATTTAGCAGCCCTTGCCCGGCTTCTGACAAATACGGCTCAGCCCCACTGCACAAGCACCAGAGCGGGGCACAAGCGCCAGCACGGACGTCAGCGTCGCGACCTGCGGTCGGGCATTGGCGTCCGCGGGCGCGGTCGCTCTCGCGCCGCCGGGCACTGACCTGCGGACCGCCCAGCGCCAGGCTGGCCTTCGAGGGCGTCGACGTCGTGGGCGGAGCGGTGGGCCCCGACTACCTCGGGCAGTTAATGAGAGCCCCCGAGGATAAAACTTCCCACGCTGGGAAACGTTGTCCCGGCCCCCGCCGTCAGCCCTCGTTATACATGTTGGTTGCGGGGGAGGTGGATCACTTTCTGTTCCCCAAACAGCTTGCTGAACGGGGCGCTGTTGTGATAGGAGCTAATTCCGGCCGAGGGAATTCAAAGCAGAGACGTCCTCAACAAAAAATTGGTGGTCCGGGCCGTTTCGCCTGAGACATCCTCGCAATTCTCGTTTCTGAGTTGTCCGGGATTGGGCGTTTCGCCTGAGACATCCACCAAACTCTGAGTTCCCAGATGCAGCGCAAGAGGTGGTCTGGCCCGTTTCGCCTAAGACATCCCCGAAACTCTGAGCTCCAAGATGCTGCGCGAGAGGTGGTCGGGCCCGTTTCGCCTGAGACATCCTCCAAACTCTGAGCTCCCAGATGCCGCGCGAGAGGTGGTCCGGCCCGTTACGCTGGAGACATCCTCCACACTCTGAGCCCTGAGATGCCGTGCGCGAGCTGGTCTGGCGCGTTTCGCTTGAGACATCCTCGCAACTCTGAATTCTGAAATGCCGCGCAAGAGGTGGTCCAGCCCATTTCGCCTGAGACATCCTCCAAACTCTGGGCTCCGAGATGCCGTGCAAGAGGTGGTCCGGCCCGTTTCACTTGAGACATCCTCCAAACTCTGAGCCCTGGTATGCCGTGCGCGAGGTGGTCTGGCCCGTTACGCTGGAGACATCCTCGCAACTCTGCGCTCTCTGATGCCGCGCGAGAGGTGGTCCCGTCCGTTTCGCTTGAGACATCCTCCAAATTCTGAGCCCCGAGATGCCGCCCAAGAGGTGGTCCGGCCCGTTTCACTTGAGACATCCTCTCGCTTTCGCATTCCGAGATGCCGCGCGATAGGTAGTCAGGCCCGTTTCGTTTGAGACGTCCTCAATACTCTGAGCTCTGAGATGCCGCGCGCGAGGTGGTCTGGCTCGTTTCGCCTGAGACATCCTCGAAACTCTGAGCTCTGAGATGCCGTGCGCAAGGTGGTCCGGCCAGTTCGCACAAGACATTCTCGCAATTCTGAGCTCCCAGATGCTGCGCAAGAGGTGGTCCAGCCTGGGAGCCCAGAAGACCACATGTTACATATCCCCCCTGGGAGCCCCAGGAGGCCCCAGAGAGCTTCAGGAGGCCGCAGGACACCCAGGACAGGCCCCAGGGGTCCCCAGGAGATTCCCAGGAGGCTCCCAGGAGGCCCCAGGAGGCCCCCTATCAGAACGTGTCAAGTTAATACACGTCCGGTGTCGATTCGTTGATTTTTCCTGCTCTTGTGGCCCCCCCTCCATTTTTTGGAGGGGGCCCGACGGCCACATGTTAGATACCCCCCCCTGGGAGCCCCAAGAGGCTTCAGGAAGCCCCAGGTGGGGCCCAGAAGGCCACAGGAGGCCCAGGAGGAAGCCCCAGGAGGTCCCCAGGAGGCCCCAGGAGGCCAGGAGGCCCCCCCAACTCGGAGCTCTGAGACGCCGCGCTCGAGGTGGTCTGGCCCGTTTCGCCTGAGACTTCCTCGCAGCACGTTTCGCCCGAGACATCGTCGCAACTCTGGGGTCCGAGATGCCGCGCGCGAGGTGGTCCAGCCCGTTACGCTGGAGACATCCTCGCAACTCTGGATTCCGAGAAGCCGTTCGGGATGACGAGGAGGAGGAGGAGGAGGAGGAGGAGGAGGAGGCATGTTCTAACATGCCATGCCAGCCCGCACTGGACGGGCACGCAATCGACCTTGGAAACCGCAGTGGGTTTAAAAGCCCTGTTTGGGGATACTGCACTCCGGCTATAATTTTTCCTGCTTGGCGCGGCGCTAAAGCTATCGCTCGGCAAAACCCCCCCCCGGAATTCATCGGTGCCGGAGCGGCGCCACGGCTGGGAGGGTCTCTCATTTATTGCCTGAGGTCACCGCGGCGAGAGCAAGGTAATCAGTCGCGACACCAGCCCGCAGACGTTCGCGATCGAGCAGGTCCCGAGGATCGCCCAACTCAAGCTGGAGCGCAGCATCACGGACTTCGACGTCGTGGTCAGCTGCGGGGGGCTTCGGTCACGCTGGCACGACATACCTTAGCTACGACCCCATTCCGCAGGAATCGGGAGCGCCAACAGGGTCTGAGGACGATCTGCCCTAGCACTGGTGGGCAGCAGGACCAGGCCGCGCCGCCTATTTCCCAGCATGAGCTATTGTATGCTGTGGATGACGGGCGACGCGAACCGGAACGGAGTGAAATGCGATCTCGACTCCTTTCCCAACCGATGCGCCCGGGTGAAGGACTCCGACGCAAGGGTCGCGATTTTCGGTCTGCACGGACCTCAGCGGCGATGCACTGCCCTGAAGCAGCTCACTGACACCAACGGGTTATATTACAGCAATCACAGCTTGCTACAAGCCCCTCCGGACGGGCAACCACGACAGGAGTCCGACAATTGCGTTGTCGGCACCTACTGCACAGCAGAGCGCATACGCCAGAAAGCGAAGATCAAGGAGGGCCACGTGCCCAAAGCACGTAAGCAGGTCGTAGCACTACGACGACTGCGGCACCGACCTCACAGGTCTGGCCCCATATCTGCTCGGCTTCCGAGCATTTGGCGCGCCGGGTCACGCTGACGAATACGACGACGACGACGACGACGACGACGACGACGACGACGACGAATTCCACGGCAGCCTCACCTCAGGCTTGCCGACACGGTGGTTCTTTGAATTTCGGGCCCCAGCAACGGATCGCCATCTGGCGAGTGCTCAAACGACCCAGGCTACCAACCAACTGTGACGACATCCACCACCTCCTCACCCACCTCACCTCTACTGACCACGGCACCGACATCATGGATGCATGTGGTGGGGAGGCTCGGACCAGCCAACCTGGCCTTTTCAAGGTGGGCACCCATTTCGACTTGACGACTGGTTGCGACACCAACGACGAGAGCCAGCAGAGAGCCGTGGCTTGCTTTGCCATGTGACGAGCAGAGAAGAATCGCATTTGCGCCGCACCTCTCTTCCTCCGACCAAGGTCGACTTGTTGAATCGATGTCCGATGGTCTCGCCGAGGAGGAATTCCAGATCAGAAAATGATGCAATATTTATGTTACTCCTCATCCTCATGTTGCCACATGTCCTGGCAGTTCAACAAATTGGCAAAATAGTTCAAACATAGCTCCCGTTGGTTGCGCGCAGTGTAGACAAATATGTTGCATGAATTTGCGTAGGGGATTTGGGAGGGGAGGGGTGGTGGAAGCCTCGTTGATACATCTGGGGTTTACCCTGGTCCTCCTCCCCCTTCGCCGCTGGACGACCAGCCCATCGCCAGGTCCATTTCGACCCGATCGATCCGATTCGGCATCCGTTTCGGACGATCCGATTCCTGCGACCCGATGCGGCCTGTTGTGCATCTTGGCGCGGCCGACCCGACTCGGTGCCGGCGCCGCACCGATGCGGCCTCATCCGGCGCACTTGCCGATCCGATCTGATCTCCCGAGCCGATGCTGGCTGCCCCTGCCCCCCCCCCACGACCCGCCCCTCGGCGCCCACATCCCCGCCGGGGCCCGCAGGCAGCAAGTCCAGCGAAGCCCAGGAGGCACTGCTGGTGGCCCAGGCCAGCCCGCTCCGTGGCGACCTTTTTGTTCGCCCTTCCTGCCAGAGGTGGCGGGAGCAAGGTTCAGAGGAGGAGAAGATATTGATGGGGGGCCCCCAAACGGGGTGGTGACCACACCGTGTGGTGAGTCCGTGGGGATTCGGGGTCACCGCACAGTTTTGGGACTTGGGTCGTTCTCCGAGGATGTCTCGGACGACCGGGGCCTCCAGGGTCCCAAAACCGTGTGGTGACGGACCTTGCGGTGAGGTCTTTTGGGGATTTCGAGGTCACCGCCGGGTCTGTCACCCCACGGTTTTGGGACCCCCAAATTGATGCCGCTACCCTTGCCTCATTTTCGCCTTTTTGGGTTTCACGGAAGGCCCTCGTCACCACCCATATGGTTTAGCTTTGAAATTCGGGTCAGAGCACGCACCCCGGGAGAGGCACGGGAAGTAGCGGTACGGTATCGGCTTTTGTTGTCTTGGCATCGCTTGGACGTGTGCATTTTTTCTCGGCGAGGGACATCGAGGAGTATCCTTGATCATTTGGCGACAAAACCACGCACGAAACCAAAAAAAGCACAGGGAATGGACGTCCGAGCGATGGCCAGTTGTGGGTTTCCCCAGGGGAGGCGGGGACGCCGACTAGCAGAGGCGGGCTGGCTTCGTAGAGTCTGGAGCTGCGCACAGGCAGCCCCCTCCAGGTCGCCCCGCCCGGCCTCCACAGGCCCCCGGAGTAGCCCGCGGCGGTCTCGACGCCCGGCGCCGCCTCCAGCGGCGCCCTCGGGCGCTCCGCGCTCCAGGGGTCGGTGTGCCGAGGCCGCTCCGGGCTACTCCGGGGGGGGGGGCCCGTTGACGCCCGCCGGAGCTGCCTTAGGGGCTGCCTGCGCGCAACCCGAAGCCCAACCAAGGTAGGGACTTGGCATCGCTCGGACGTGTGCATTTCTCCTTCGGCGAGGGCCATCGAGGAGCATCCTGTATCATTTGCACGCACGAAACCGAACAAAGACACAGGAAATGTACGTCCGAGCGATGCCAGGGGGAGCATCGACCCCAAATCGCCCAGTCTTCGCTGATCCAGGACTGGGTGCGCCAACCCGCCCAGCATCCTTGGCTTTCCCGCCTGGGGCCTGCCTCCAATGCATCGTCGATGCAGGGGTGGGGAGTCGACTAGACGTAAGAGTGACCTTCCGCCGGAGTGACCTTTGGTGCGGGCACTGATGGGTCCCCAGATGGCTGGAAACGAAGCAGGAGCAGCGGCTTGCGCGCCTAGGTTTGGTCCCCCGCGGCCCCCAAAAAGCCGCGCACAAAGGTCACCCTTACCCAGGGTCACTCCTGTGTGTAACCGAGGGAGGGAGGACCCAGCTGAGGCAATCGCAAACATGGATCCAGGGGCGTGGATTGGCGACGGGTCCCGCTTCCGTGGAAAACAGCGGATCTCCGCCGCCGCACTCTGGGGGGAGGGCACCTCCCCCGACTCGCGGATTTGGCGACCGCGCGCAACACCCGTGGAGAGGAGGGAGGACCCAGCACCGCCAGGGGGTCTGGGGCCCACGAGAGGGGGCACCCGGGAAGGTGGGCGCGCGGAGTCTGCCGCACGCAGCCAGCCTCGGCTTCGCCGCCCGGCGCCCTCCTCGGCGTGCGGCGCCGCGGGCGCCGGGAGGCGCAAGGGGAGCCAGTGGCGTGAGCTGACTCGCTCGCCCCCTTCGTGATCACCCATCGCCCGACCCAAGGGAAGGAGGGGATGAGGAGGGCCCCGTGGCGTTCGTGTTCTTTCTGCGGGGCGGGCGTGGTCCTGGGGTCGCCGCTGTTCTTCGGGGGTATGTGGCCGCGGCGTGCGGCGGCGTCCTTGCCGTTTCGGAGGAGAGGGCGTTGTCGTGGCGTCGCCTTTGGGTTTCGGGGATGGGACATGGCCGCGGCGTGTGGCGGCCTGCTGGCTTCGTCGGAGGAAAGGCATGGTCGCGGCGCGTGGCGGTATCGCCAGTCCGCGCGGACCTCAAAAGTTTGTTATGTGTGCCAGTGAGTTGCTCCTCCCGGTACCTCCAGGAACGTCTGTCCAGCCCAGTGGTTTGGCCTGCCGCCGATGCGGTTGTGCCCATTCACCTGAGCTTGCAGGGTCCATTTAACACTCACCCGATCCGACTTGGTTCCGATATCCCTGGCGCACCTCGAGGTCAATGTTTAGGGCGGGTTGGGCGTTTCGCCTAAGACTTCCCCACCATGTATGGTACTGATGCTTAAACATTGGCAACAATTTCACAAATGGATGGCGGGTGGTTTTCAACATGTGGGTTCCGCCTTAGCGCCGTGCGCATTCGTTTCAAACATTTGCTGGAGTTTCACGGGTTGAAGGCGAATAGTTTACAACATGTGGTTCTCGCATTGGTGCCGCGCACATTCGATTTTAACATTTGCAAGAGTTTCACGGATTCCTAGCATCAGCATACCAGAAACGGTGGTTTGGAAGGGTTCGATATTATGAGGGTGCAACAGTTACTTTAATTCGCGATGCTGAAGTCCCAGGACTGGCGTTCTGGCACGATTCAGATTCGTCAAGAAGCAATAGTCTGGTAGATCCGTGGCGCTGGAATTCCGAAAACGATGTCTTGGCATGTTTCAGGGTCTTCAAACGGTTGTTTTCACACAAAGTTCCCTCAGTGGAAATGAACCGCTGTTGGAGCCTATGAAGTGGGCGCATGGAGGGAGGATGTATTCCAACATCGTTGATGGTTCTTGGGTTTACACTGGTCCTCCTCCTCCTCCTCCTTCTCCTCCTTCTCCTCCGCTTCCTCTTTCTCATCCTCTTCTCATCCTCCTCCTCCTCCTCCTCCTCCTCATCCTCGCCACCCCCCCCCCGTCCTCCTCCTCCTCCTCCTCCTCCTCCTCCTCCTCCTTCTCCTCCTCCTCCTCCTCCTCCTCCTCCTCCCCTCCCCCTCCTCCTCCTCTCCTCCTCTCCTCCTCCTCCTCCTCCTCCTCTCCTCCTCCTCCTCCTCCTCCTCCTCCTCCTCCTCCTCCTCCTCCTCCTCCTCCTCCTCCTCCCCTCGTCCGCTGCCGGGCACTGGGGCCATGTCCGCCAGGCCACCCGCGGGGGTGCGAAGAGCACCCCGCGGCGCGGCCTGGCTCTCGAGCGCTGCCCCCCCCCCCCCCCTTCGGGGCGCGGCGGGCGAGGCGCGGAGCGGAGCGCGCCCGCTTCGCCTGCGCGAGGCCGCGAAGGGGGCTGCTCTCCCCCTGCCTCTACCCCTCTTGATTTCGGTTGTCCTCCTCCTCCTCTCCTCCTCCTCCTCCTCCCTCCTCCTCCTCCTCCCTCCCCTCCTCCTCCTCCTCCTCCTCCTCCTCCTCCTCCTCCACCCTCCACCCTCCACCCTCCTCCGCCTCATACCTCTGCCGCCGGCCGCGTGCGCGCAGGACGACTTCAACTGCGAGTCGGGGCCGTGGCCCGAGAACAAGAAGACCTGGTGCTGCGACCACAAGCAGAAGGGCTGCGAGGCGGCCGCGAGTCAGAGGAGGAGGAGGAGGAGAGGGGCACGGAGGCCACTGCCGCTCCCTCGTGCGCCCCCTCGTGGGGCCTGCTGGAGGGCCCCCGCCGCCACCGCTGGACCTGCGTCGAAGGTATGATCAGAACGCAGCCTGGGAGAGGCTCGGGGAGTGGCAGTGTCAGTATCCTGCTGTTTTCCCTGCAGGTGTGGAGCAGGGGGGCGGCGACTCTGGAGGGACCCGTCCGTCGGGAAGCCACGGGAAGCCGCGGGTGGCCCGACAGATCGTCTCGAGGATGGCGCGAGAGATGCACAGCACCTGGGTCTAAGGTGTCCTCCACGGTGGCCGAACGTTGCTTCCCTCTTGGCCCCACAGGAGGCCCCAAGATCTGTTCCCGCCGGGCCGCTCTGGAGCCCCAAGGGCAAGAGAGGCGTGTTGACGAGCTCGGGCGCCCCGGCCCTCCCGACGCCCCCATGGCCGGCAGCTTGGACCTCCAGAGGACAGAGGACAGGCACAGAGATCAGGAGGGAAAAAAAGCAGACACAATTAATCGTTGACTCTCCAGAACATATGGGAAAATATGGGAAGTGGGGGGGAAGACAGAAACCCAGAAAATATTGGGAATCCTTTTATTTGTGTGTATTTATTTGTGTGTCCTGGTGCCCCTTCAAGAGAGGAGGGGAGCATCTCGCACGCCAGGGCCCGCTCTGAGCCGATCGATCCGATCCGATATCGCCTGGCTGGTCCGAGCTGGTTCGGCTGTGACATTGCGACGACCCCATGCGACCCGCTGCTCGTGGGCGGTGTCGTGCATCCCGGCGTGGCCGATCCGATTCGATGCCGGCTCCGTGCCGCTACGGCCCGATCCGGCATCCGATTCGGTTCCCCGACTCGATGCTGCTGGATCCTGAGGTGAGGCGAGAGAGAGCCAAGGGGAGGGGCCTTGGCGAGAAGGCGGGGGAAGAGAGGAAGGGGGGGCGGGAGGGAAACCGGGGGCGAGATGGGGAGCGGCGGAAGGTCCACATCGTCTAGCCGATCCCCCTCCCCATTGGGCCAAGGTATCTCAGCCCCACTCGCCCACCCTTTCTGGTGGGGATGCGATGCGCCCCGCGAAACCCGAAGGGACCAGCGTGTACAGTGGGGGCCCATGCCAAGAAACACCATGCTTGCCTCCAAGGTGCCCTGGGTTTCTTGGGTTTCGATGGTCTTGCTGTGGAAGGCGTGACGTTCCCACACCAAAAATCGATGGACGTCCTGGGGTCTCAGGGTTGGGTTTCTTGTGGAAGGTTTCTTGTGGAAGGGCCCCTACTGTATCCTCACCTAGGGGGGGATAAGTCGGCCGATGGGGCCAGGGTCGTGCCAGTGGGGATGGTGATCGGTTAAGCGATGTTCGGGAGGTGAAGGGGCTGCGAAGCGAGCGCGGGGGAGCGGGAGGGACCGTGGCAGGGGTCGAGGGATTCCAGGGGCAGGGCTCATTTCGACTCCGACGCGATTCGATTCGATGTCGATCGATTCGGGTTCTGAGTCGATTCGACTTCGATTTCGGATTCCGATCCTGCTGAACCCTGCCGACGTCCGCCGACTCATCTTCTCCCGACTTGGCTGCCGATTTCCGCCGATCCGACTAATATCGATCGCCGATCCGACTTATCGATTCGGTTCTGAGTTCTCCTGCCAAGGGAGAGGATCGAGCATTGAGAGAACGCCCACCCAGACAAAGTCGGCGGAGGAAATCTGCACCGCTTCACTCGACATTGGCATTCTAGTATGCCAGTGCAGTTCCAGTGGGTTCCGCCACTCGACGCGCGTGTCGCCGGATACATTGGGTTGTTTTTAGACGTTGATTAGCTACCCCCGTGTGGTGCACTGGGAATGCGGTGCCGTGCGTATTTGGAGTGCCTGTGGAACTTTCACCAAAGGACGTTTTGATAAATAGAGTCATGTCCACCACGAAAAGATGGCCATCTTCAGATGAGAAAGAGCGTGTTCTACCGCTGCTGGCGGAAAATCGTGAGGGTAACTGGGGGTTCCTAACCCGTCCCCCCCCTCGAAAACCTGGGGGGTCACTACCAGTTCGAACCCCCCCCCTCGAAAACCAGGGGGGGTCACTACCGGTTCGACCCCCCCCCCGCCGCCAGCAAACGATGCCCGCTCCTCGGGACAGTTGGAGAATGGTGGGGATGTTGGGACAGTGGTGGGAACGGTGGTGGTGGGGACAGTGGTGCGGGGACACTGGGACAGTGGTGCGGACAGTGGTGGGGACGGTGGTGGTGGGGACAGTGGTGAGGGGGCGGCGGGACAGTGGTGGGGACAGTGGGACAGTGGTGGGGATGGTAGTGGTTGGGACAGTGGTGAAGGCGGTGGTGAGGACAGTGGTGGGACAGTATTACAGTGGGGAAAGTGGTGGGGACAGTGGGGACAGTGGGACACTGATGGGGACAGTGGGGACGGTGGGACAGCACAGTGGGACAGCGGCGGGGACTTCGGGACAGTGGTGGGAACAGTGGGGACAGTGGGACAGTGGTGGGGACCGTGGGGAAAGTGGGGAGAGTGGGATTGTGGTGGGACAGTTGTGGGAAGAGTGGGGACAGTGAGACACTGGTGGGGGCACTGGTGGGGGCACTGGCGGGGACAGCGGGGACAATGGTGGGAACAGTGGGGGCAGTGGGACAGTGGTGGGGACGGTGGTGGTGGGGACAGTGGTGTGGGGACAGTGGGAATGTGGTGGAAACAGTGGGACAGTGGAGGGTACAGTGGTGGTGGCGACAGTGGTGAGGCGACGGCGAGGACGGCGGTGGGATAATGGGACAGAGGTACAGTAGGGACAGTGGTGGGGTCAGTGGGGACAGTGGTGGGAACAGTGGGACAGTGGGGACAGTGGGACAGTGGTTGGGGCCGTGGAGAAAGTGGAGGGTGGAACCGTGGTGGGAACAGTGTTGGGGACAGTGGGGACAGTGGTCAGTGGTGGGGGCACCGGTGAGGACAGTGGTGACGGTGGTGGGAACAGTGGGGACAGTGGTGGTGGAGACATTGGTGCTGGGGACAGCAGTGGGGGATGTGGTGCGGACGGTGGTAGGGACCCAGAGTTGTTTGCTGGCGGTGAGCGTGGGGGGAGTGAGGGGGGAGGGGTTCGAACGGGTAGTGACCCCCCCTCGGTTTTCCGGAAGGGGGGGAGTTCGAACCGGTAGTGACCCCCCCCTCGTTTTCGAGGGGGGGGGGGGTTCGAACCGGTAGTGACCCCACCCGGTTTTCGAAGGGGGGGGGGGGGGGGTTCGAACCAGTAGTGAACCCCCCCCGGTTTTGCGGAAGGGGGGGGGGTTCGAACCGGTAGTGACCCCTCTCTGGTTTTCTTGGGGGGGGAAGGGTTCGAACCGGTAGTGACCCCCCTCGGCTTTCCGGGGGGGGGGGGGGGGGCGAACCGGTAGTGACCCCCCCCCGGTTTTCGAGGGGGGGGGTCAGGGGACGGGGGGGGGGGTTTGCCAGGGGGAGGGGGGGGGTCCAGCAGGCCGGGGGGGCGGGATTTTCGGAGGGGGGGGGGAGACCCCCGGGCCCCAGAGGAAGAGGGGGGGGAATTTTCCACAGCAAAGCGGCAGTGGATCACGCTCTCTCTCTCAGAGGATGGCGCACGATAGGCTCGTGTCGCGCCGACGCGGCAGCGACCCCGCCGCGGGAGTTCATGGTTGAACGCTTGGCATCGCTCGGACGTGTGCATTTTTCCTTCGGCGAGGACCATCTAGGAACATCATTGATCATGCGGCGAAAACACCACGCACGAAACCGAAAAGAACGCAGGGAATGGACGTCCGAGCGATGGCCAGAACGCCACCGGTGGCCCAGAATCGGCACATCTGGAACGCTCTGGCGATCGAAAAGCGGCCGATCGCTTCCAGGTTGAACGAGCCACGTGGTGGTCAGAAGCCAAGAGGGTCGTCACTGCACGAACTTGCCGCGCCGCTCTCTGCTCCCCATCCCCTGTCGGAAGTTCTCCCGCCCCGACCGTGCGCTTGTTGCCGTGCGCAGTTGCAGCTGCGGAGCGGGGGGGCTCCCTCTCCCTGGGTGCGCCCAGGGGGGGAGGCGGACGGGGGGGGCCTTCGCAGAAGGCTCGGCCGGCCTCCCTGACCTCCCCGGCAGCTGCCCAAGCCTCCGGAGCCGCGGACGGCTTCTGAGAAACCCTGCCGCCTTTGAGAAGGCCTGCCGCGCCCATCTCGCCTTCTGAGAAGCCCCTCTCGTTTCTCAGGAGGGAAGAAACACACAGACACAATTAATCGACGATTCCCTAGAAAATATTGGAAAATATGGGAAGTGGGCGGGAAGACAGAAACCCAGAAAATATGGGAAAATATGGGGAATCCTTTTGTTTGCACGTATTTGCTTGTGTGTCCCAGGGCCCCTTCCGAGGAGCCCCTCGCGTTTCCTCCTCGCCGCGCAACCGCCTGCGCTCCGACCTGGACTCTTCGCCGCTGCCCCCGGGGGCACACGTCGAGGCGAGAGAGCTTCTTATGGGCAGGGGAAGGGGAAGCTCGGGCAGGAGCCAGGGGGGCCCAGGGGACCTCGGGCCTCATGATGTTCCAACCTACTTCAGCCTTGATCACCAGAAAGAACTTCGAGCACCCAAAACATACCGAGGCTCGAAGGTTTTCACGTGTCGGGCCCTGGGAAACGCTGTTTCGACACTGTTTCAGCGCTGTTTCGACACCTGTCCGGGTGCTCGAAGCTATTTCTGGGATGTAGTCTTTAAGCACGATGGGAAGAACATAACGCTGGCCGGCTTCACCGCCGGGCGGCCAGGCGGCCAGTCCCCCCCCCCCCCCGCGGGGCCCCCAGGGCACTCGCCGAGGAGGGAGCCGGTGGCGCACCCGCTCGAGGGGAGCGAGAGTCGTGCAAACATGTCGGGTATGGCCAGGATCCAGGTACTTGGTATCGCTCGGACGTGTGCATTTTTTCTCGGCGACGGCCCTCGAGCAGCATCCTTGACCATCGAGCCATAAAAGCACGCGCGAAAGCGAAAAATGCACGAGGAATGGACGACCGAGCGATGGCAAGGGTAAGGGGACCCGGTGAGTGGTTGGGCCCAGGAGCATTCTGAATTTGCCAGAATCCTTAAACCATGTCTGCCATGGCTGGTGTTTTTTCGGGTGACGGCAGTTCCGGTCAGTGGAAATGGGACGGGGGGGCGCCCCCGGTGCAGATCGCAAAACCAGGTTCCAGTTCTGCCAAGGCCCGAGCATTGATCAAGTGGGCGTGGAATCAGCGACGGGGCTTGCTTCCATGGGAAACCGCGGATTTCCGCCGCCGAAAGAGGCGGCACGGGCCGCATTTGGGGGACCCGATCCATGGATTTGGCGACCTCGCGCCAGATCCATGGATCGCCAATCCATATATTTGCGCTCCCCCGAGAGCGGGGAAAAAAACACACAGACACAATTAATCGCCGATCCCCAAGAAAATATGGGAAAATATGGGAAGTGGGGAGGAAGACAAAAACCCTGAAACTATTGGAAAATATGGGGAATCCTTTTATTTGTGTGTATTTATTTGTGTGTCTCAGGGCCCCTTCAGGATCGCACGAACGAAATCGGCACGGCAAGACCGGGCGCAGTGCCCCACAGCAGTTCTTGCCAATGTTTTTTGGGGGCTCGCTGTCCGCACCGCCATGGACGTTGCCCATCTGAGACAGAAGGCCGCCTGCCCAACAGCGGCCGCTGTCAGTTTTGGACGGCATGTGTTGTTGGGCACATCGTACCCGTTTTGTCCGTACCCATTCCGGTCGTTCAGATCGGACGACGTCCAGTTGATGGGACGCCGTCCGTGGTTGCGGAGAACTTTTCGAGAGCTCCTCGGGCCGTTCGTGGCTTCGGGGAAAGCTCAGGGAAAGCCTTTCGGGAGGCCAAGGGGGCTCCTGAGCCTTCCAGGGGGACCGCCCCCTCTGCCTTCCCCTTGGGCGCGCCGCCTCCACGGGCAGTGGAGAGCTGCTCGCCTCTTATCTCTGATCTTAAGTCGGGCCTGGCCCTCTACAGGGGCCATCGGAGGTTGGGGGGTGAGATCGAAGTGGAACGGAGAGCCCCCCACCGGGAAATCGGTGTCGGTTTCGTCGTGCGTGCCGTGCGTGCGGGCGAGGCGAAGCTGCGTGGGCGGGCGAGAGGACAGTCTCCTGTGGCTGAGGCGCGGCCAGACCAAATGATTCCCCCCCCGGCAAACGGGGCCGCGCGGTGTCCCGCCGGTGTCCCGCCAGTGTCCCGCTGGTGTCCCGGTAAGTCTCCTGTGGCTGAGGCGCGGCCAGACCAAATGTTTCCCGACTGGCAAACGGGGCCGCGCGGTGTCCCGCCGGTGTCCCGCCGGTGTCCCGCTGGTGTCCTGGTGTCCCGCTGGTGCGAAAACGGTAGTGAGACCGTTAGTGAGATCGATCGAGTGAGATCGATGGTGAGATCGATTGTGGGATCGATAGTGAGAACGATAGTGGGATCTATGGTGAGATCGATTGAGTAAGATCGATAGTGAGATCGATCGAGTGAGATCGATAGTGAGATCGATAGTGAGATCGATGGAGTGGTATCGATAGTGAGATCGATAGTGAGATCGATGGAGTGATATCGATGGTGAGATCGATAGTGGGATCGAAAACGAGATCGAGAGTGAGATCGACAGTGAAATCGATCGAGTGAGACCGATAGTGAGATCGATCGAGTGAGATCGATAGTAAAGTCGATAGTGAGATCGATCGTGGGATCGATAGTGAGACCGATAGTGAGATGCAGATCGAAATGCAGATCGAAAAGCAAATCGATATGCACATCGATGAGCAAATGCAAATGCAAGTCGTCAGGCACATCGACGTCCCGTGCTGTATGCTGTGCCAAGAGCAAGCGGCAACGCAACAATCTCTGAACACCAAGGCTCCCTGTACGAACGTTGGCGGAACAGGCTCTTAAGGGTCGCTCCAAGAAGCTCCCGGGAGGCCCCAAGAGGCCCCCAAGAAACCCACAAAGGCTCCCAAGAGGCCAGAGGCCCCCAAGAGCCCCCCAAGAGGCCCCCAAGAGCTTCCAAGAGGTCCAAAAGACGCGCCCAAACGGCCCCCCTCCCCCAGGCGACTGGGAGCCAACCCAGGTCCATGCGGGTACCCCCCCCACCATCCCTTGTAAAAAACAAACACATTCTGCCCCCACTATCCCTTGTGAAAAAAACAATACAACACACACACACACACACACACACACACACACACACACTCTGTCTCCAAATTCTGAGCATGCGCAGCGAACCCGATGCGGCCTCCCCCCACCATCCTTATCAAACACCAATACAGAATACACTTGGCGGCGGCGGGGGCGGCGGCGGCGGTGGCAGCGGCGGCGGCGGCGGCGGCGGCGGCAGCGGTTGCGGCAGCGACTGCGGCGGCAGCGGCTGCGGCGGCGGCGATTTGGCAGCGGCGGCGGCGGCGGTGGGCGGCGCGGTGGCGGCGGCGGGGGTGGACAGCGGCGGCGGTGGCGCGGCAGCGGCGGCGGCGGATTCGCCCCCAGTAGCTGCTCATCCAAAGACGACTGCTGCATATGCTGCGGCTTGGGTCAGGCTCGGGTGCTACGTATGTGTTGGGAGGGCGGGTGGGAGTGAGCGAGACGGCTTGCGGGCGGGGAGGGCGTCTTGATCCTTCCCCCTTACCCCTCCCCACGGACCTGGACAGGGGGTTCCGCGAGTCGTCGGAGCGTCCAAAACGGCCTCGGCGAGGAAGCCAGCATCATTGGTTTTACTAAGGTTGTGGCCACAGTGAGGCCTCCTGCGGGGGGGACACTATTTTGGGACCCCCCTTCCTGTGATCGATTTCACCCAAGATGGCCCAAACGTGGCCCCCGAGGCCCCCAAGGGCGCCCCAAGAGGGCCTCATGAGGTGGCCAGGAATCCCCAAGAGCCCCCCCCCAGGATGCCCCCAAGAGGCTCCCCAAAAAAACACCCGGGAGGCCCCAAGAGACCCCCCAGAGGTACCCAAGATGCTCCAAGAGGCCTCGACGAGAATGCCAAGCCAACTCGTTGATTTCACTCCGGGTGTAGCCACATGTTGGCCTCTTGGGGGGCACTAGTTAAGATGACTCCAAGAGCGCCTGGGTCAGCCCAAAATGACCTCCAAGATGTCTCATGATATCTCAAGATGTTTCATATGGCTCCCACGATGCTCCAATATGCCCCAAGACCGTTCCAAAACGGCTCTGAGTGGCCAAAGAGCTCCCCCAGGAGGCCCCGAAGAGGCCAAAACCTCAGGACATTCTATGTGTTTGGCTTTCTCGCTGTTTCGCTTCCGATGGCCGTCCGAGGCCTCGAGATGGCTCCGAGATGGCCCAAGAGGGCTCCAAGAGAGGCTCCAGAGAACCCCAAGACGGCCCCAAGAGCGCCTAAGAGCGTTCCAGAAACGCCCCAAGAGCGCCCCAAGAGGCGATTGTTCGGGCTCCCGAGGGGCAGCGCTAACTAATGGTCGCGTCTTGTTTGGTCGATGCCCCCCAAGATGGCCCCAAGAGCGCTCCCAAGGCTCCCAAGAGCGCTTCAAGAAGGCCCCACGAGGCGCCCAGGAGGCCCCAACAGGCGCCCAAGAGGCCTCCAAGATGCTCCCAAAAGACCCCCAAGAGGCCCCAAGAAGCTCTCCGAGGCACCCAAGACGCTCCAAGAGGCCTCCCGTGGGGGACCCTTCCTTTGTGTGCTGCCCATTTCCCTGATCGAGGCAATTCCTCTGGGCATCGTTTCTGGATGGGCTGGTGGGGTTACGCGAAGCGTCTAGAATTCATTATTTCGTTAGTTCCCGGGGGGAGGGGTTGGGACCAAGGCGCCCAAGAGCGAACGGTGTCGTAAACAACTCGACACCAAGCTCCCAAGAGCAAGCGGCAACGCAACAATCTCCACTGGCATCGTCAGACAACAATCACCAGTTTTGCCCATTGCTGGCCCCCTCCCCCACCCAAACCTCCTTATCACCCGCAGGGTGGTCGTATAGGTATTCAAAAAGAGTCACAACAAATAGTATGGGGTCTATGTTTGTTGACCATCGTTGGGCATATTTTGCATTTTCTCAGGGCGTGTCTATTTTTGTTGCCGAAAATCCCCCTGTAGGGGGGACACGCCCGACCTAACCCTGATCCCTGTGGCTTGCCCTGGTCGGTGAGCCGAGTGGGCTCCAGCGACCTTGGTCTGGGTCCGGGAGCAGGCGCCCGCCGAGGCACCCGACGATGTGATTTGCTTCCTCCGCGGCCTCGGAGCTCCCGGCTCCTCCTCGGGCTTTTGGGCTTCCTGCCGGATCCGTTCGTGATGGCCCCCCATGGTCGGAGGTGGACAAAAACCCCCAACAGTGACACGTCGATTAGTGAATTCTCTGTTTTCGGTTCTCGAGAGGGCGCCGTGGCCGTTATTTTCCAGGCTTGCGCCCGCCAGGTGTGAGCCCGAGGTCGTTTTTCACTAAACCACGTTTTTATTAAAGGGGGGTCCTGTCCAACCCCGACATGGGCCGACCACGGCCCCCGGAGGCCGAGATTGGGGAGAAACGTCAGGATTGGCAGCCGTACTGGGGCATTCTGATGTGCAAGCAGTGGCGAAGCATCCCGGCGTGCCCACAGGCCTGCCAAAGCATGTTCCAGGAACCGTTTTAGTGGCTTCCACGAGATGTCCCTAGAACACGTCTGGCCAGGACTGGCCTGTTTTCACACCTCGGTTTACAGTATCAGGACATTGCGTTTGCTCTCCGAACGTCTTGTGGGTTCTAAGAACATGTCGTGGTAGGCCTATTTAGAAATGCCGGGACGGTCGGTGGTAGGCCCATAGAAATGCCGGGGCGGTCGGCCCCTGCTCGAGGCTCAGGCCAGCGCGCGTCCTCCTCCGCGCCGCCCGCCCCCCGCGGGAGGTGCGGCCGCTGCAGATCCCCGGGCCGCCCGCCGATCCCCCGCCGCCGCTGGGCGAGGACGCCCCCACGCGCCCGGCGCGCCCCGACGCGCGGGCGAGAGCGGCCGGGGGGGGGGTTAAGGAGGAAGGTTCGGAGCCTAAGAGACGGGGGTCCATGCGCAGGCGATCGCAAACATTCAGAGCCCCGAGTCATCAGGGGTAACTCGGGTCGGGGCTAACTCGGGTTCGCTGTTCGGGATTCCGAACCCGAGTTACCCCGCTCCCGGCGCGCCCCGACGCGCGGGCAAGACCGGCCGGGGAGGGAAGGAGGGAGGCTCGGAGCCTAGGATCGTCGTCGTGGTCGCGGTCGTCGTCGTCGTCGCCGTCGCGGTCGTGGTAGTCGTCGTCGTCGTCGTCGTCGTCGTCGTCGTCGTCGTCGTCGTCGTCGTCGTCGTCGTCGTCGTCGTCGTCGTCGTCGCGGTCGTGGTAGTCGTAGTCGTCGTCGGGGTCGCCGTCGTCGTCGTCTCCATGCCGACAGACGGGGGTCCATGCGCAGGCGATCGCAAACATGGATTCAAGGGGCGTGGACTAGCGACGAGGCCCGTTTCCACCGGAAATCGCGGGTCGTCGCCGCCGAGCGAGGCGGCTCCGGCCGCGTTTTTGGGAGGGCACCTCCCCCGATCCATGGATTAGGCGACGGCGCGCGAAATCCATGGATCGTTAATCCATGTTTGCGCGCCCCCGAAATGCAGACGGAGGTCAGCCAGGGCACCAGATCCTGCAGGATCCTGCGAAGGCCCCCTCTGGCTGACCCGGGTCAGCGAGCCGCTCGTGGCCTCGAGGCGGCCGCGCATATTGGCTGACCCCGGTTTGCGAGGGGGAGGAAGAAGGTGCCCGGGCAGGGTTCGCTTCGATTCCTCCGATTCGATTCGCTTCGACTTCGATGGATTCCGATTCGGAATCGACTTCGGATTCCGAGTTGGATTCCGATCCTTCGATGAAGGCGGCCTACCAGCCTGCCGATTTCTGCCAAGTCGACTTCTCCCGACGTGGCTGCCGATTCCCGCCGATCCGACTCATTTCGATCGCCGATCCGACCTGTCGCTTCGATCCTGGGCTCTCTGACCCAGCCTTCCCCGGCCAGACTCGGGAAGCACACGCATGGATCAAGGCCTTGGCATCGCTCGGACGTGTGCATTTTTCCTCGGCGAGGACCATCGAGGAGCATCCTTGATCACTTGGCGGAAAAACCACGCACGAAACCGAAAAAAGCACAGGGAATGGACGTCCGAGCGATGGCGAGAGGCGCGCGGCGCGGATTGGCGGCGGGCCGCGCTGCCGAACCAAGCTCGGCTGGCGCCGTCGCCGAGGCAGGCGGCTCCGGCCCTGCGTTTCAGGGGGGGTGCTTTCCTCCCCGGTCCCCGTGGACGTGGCGCCCGCGCGCCGGACCCGCCGATGTAAGGCATACACAGTCAACCATGGCAGTAAGGATGGTTACCAGCCTCGAACGTATCCCTATCCCTAAGATTGACACGCCAAAAGGCGATGACAATCTTAGGGATTCGCCCTCAAAAAATAAGGGAATCCCTAAGATTGGCATCGTGATGAGGAGGTGCCCAGCATAGGGATAGGGATATGTTCCAGGCTGGTAGGATGGGGCAGCTTTCCAAGGCTACCCTTGCATCCTTCCCCCTTCGGTGTTCGGCATCCTTCGGCATTCTCCTGCGCTCCGCACGGATAGCGTCAACGTGGGGTTCCGAGGCCCCTGCATCCTTGCTCGCCGAGCGCGTTCCACTACTGTAAAAAAGTGCCTACTCGCAAACGTCCGACAAAGACACCTGGCCGCTTTGATGTAATTTGTCGCAGATCCTCGGCGGGGGATCCGGGCCATTTGCGAGTAGTCACGTTGCGAGCAGTGGAACGCGCTCGTCGACCTGCCGAGTGTCACGCCATTCCCAGCCCTGCCCCTGCGGGTCCAGGTGGCGCCGGGGCTCCGGGGCGCGCGTGCGCGTGTGCAGCGCGCCGCCGATCGGCGCGAGGCCCCCTCCCCCCCGGAAGAGAAGGCGTTGGCCGATTGTCAGGAGGGGAAACAACACACAGGCACCATGAATCGCTCGCTCCCAGGAAAAGATGGGAAAATATGGGAAGTGGGGGGGAAGACAAAAAAAAAAGGGGAATCATGTTGTTTGTGTGTATTTCTTTGTGTGCCCTGGGGCCCCTTCGGATTTCTGGGGCTGCTTCCGTCCGGTGGGGGTGAGCGCGGGAGGCCCGCCCCGGCGCCGTGGCATCGCTCGGGCGTGTGCAGTCTTTCTCGGCGAGGGCCATCGTCCTCCTCCTCCTCCTCCTCCTCCTCCTCCTCCTTCTCCTCCTCCTCCCCCTCCTCCTCCTCCTCCCCCCCCTCCCCCCTCCCCCCTCCCCCTCCCCTCCTCCTCCTCCTCCTCCTCCTCCTCCTCCCCCTCCCCCTCCCCCTCCCCCTCCTCCTCCTCCTCCTCCGAGCATGTTGGGTCATCGTGCGAAGCACATTCACGCACGAAGCCGCAAAACGCACGGGCAGTGGACGTCCGAGCGATGGCAGGTCGCGGACGCGCGAATCTTGGCTTGGGGCGACGGTCGGTGACCGACCGACCACCAGCAAGCCAGCTCCTTGGTGCAGAAGGCTCGCCTCGTTCCAGGACGTGGGCGGGCGGCAGGAGGTGGGCTGCGATTATGTTGCTCCCATTGTACTTACGGACGAATTCCCAAAATAATTTCGAGCACCCAAACAGGGATCGAAACAGTGTCGAACGAGTATCGCCTCCAGGGGCCCGACACGTGAAGACCCTCCAGTCTCGGTGCTCTCCTGGTGCTCGACATTCTCTCTGGTGGTCAAGGCTGATAAAGCAGGCTGGAACATCATAAGGCTACGACCAGGAGCAGCGCTCACGGGGGCCCGCCAGGTGCGCCACGTGCTGCTGGGTCTGCAAGGCCGGGTTTGGGGGAAGCCTGCATCAGCAGGGAAAAACACACAGAGACACCATGAATCGTCGACTCCCAGGAAAACATGGGAAAATATGGGAGGGGGGGGGGGAAGACGAAAACCCAGAAAATATGACAAAATATGGGGAGTCCTGTTTTTTGTGTCTTTTAAGGCGGGCCTGTCCCTTTACAGGGGGAATATTCAAAAATAGTCCAAAAACAGTCTGGAGACTGTTTCTCTTGCATCTTTGAATATGTTTGGACTACTGTTTGGTTATTTGGGGGGTATCTTTTATTTTTCGTCGAAAATCCCCCTGTAGGGGGACAGGCCCGACATGAGTGTATTTGTGTGTCCCAGGGCCCCTTTGCCGCAGCGCAACGGGCCTTGGCGGAGCCCCTCCTGGGCGGGGCCGTGCGCAGCCGCGCCGGCGCCCGGCGGCGGAGGGCGCCCAGACCCCCAGGGGAGGAGGGGCGGCGTGTCCCTCTACACCGGGGGCGGAAGAGAGGGGGGCGATGACGAGGGGGGGGGGTCGACGACTTTTCGGAGCATGTTTTGGCCATCTCGTTTTTTTTACAGTTTGGTATTTTGCGTCCAGGATCCCCCTGTAGGAGGACAGGCCCGACTTGATTAAGTCTAGGTTTGAGTCGGGCCTGCCCTCTACAGGGTGAATATTCAAAGATAGTCCAAAAATAGTCTGTGGACGATTTTCGGAGCATGTTTTGCCCATTTCGTTTTTCTTCCCAGATTTTTTATTTGTCGTTCAGAATCCCCCTGTAGGAGGGCAGGCCCGACTTGATGAAGTCTAGGCTGTAGATGACAGGGAGCGGGAGGGGGGGTGATGGGGAGGGTCGGCGGCGCGCCCCGGGGGGAGAGGCAGAAGGAGCCAGCCTAACTCAGAATCGGGGGCGGCAGAGAGGGGGGGGATGGCTAGGGGGGGGTGGGGGATATCATGGCGTGGGCCATGCTATTTCTCCAGATCTCGTGGCGCCCCTTCTTGTTTCATTACGTCCCTGGCCCCCCCCCCCCCGCCGGGCCGCGCACATGCCGCCGGTCATGATTTGCATCCCCCCCCCACTTGGACACCCCCCTCTTGGCCGCTCCCGACTACAGGATCAGGGGCAACGACAGGGGGGGATAGGCACAGGTCAAGCAGTGGCGATGCGTCCCGACCCGCCCATAGCCTTACCAAACAATGTTCTAAGAACCTCTTGTGGTTTCCACGAAATGAGCTTAGAACATTTCTGGCGGAGCCTGTCTTGTTTTATCGCATCGGGCTAATGTTCTAAGAACCTATGATCAGGGGCAACGATAGGTGGGGATAGGCTTATGTCGGGCGTGTCCCCCGACAGGGGGATTTTCGACGAAAATAAAGAATACCCCAAAAATACCCCAAGAAGGTAAACATCTATTGAAAAAATAGTCCCCAGACAATGTTTTGGTTATGTTTTGATTTTTTTTGGTGTGTTTTTGTTTAACATTTTTCGTCGAAGATCCCCCTGTAGGGGGACAGGCCCGACTTAAGGATAGGCATAGGGGAGGATGCATCGACACGCAATCGTCCATTGATCGCCGATAGGGGCCCCATAGTCCGAACCTGCCCAGCAAGGTGCGGATCCACTATCGGGGGCCTATCGCCGATCCATCGGCGATGTAGCGCCGATTCCAGATCGATGCATCCCCCCCTATGCCTATCCCCCCCTATCGTTACCCCTCACAGGAGGGGTATTCAAAAATAGTAAGAAATATAGTCTGGGGACGATTCTTGTACCATTTTTGAGCATTTGGGGGCAGTGTTGGGGCATGTTTAATTTTTCGCCCCAAATCACCCTGCAGGGGGACATGCCCGACCTAACACTATGGTCCCGATGAGGATGCTCGGCAGCTGGATGCGGACCGGGTAACAGGATACGTCTTACCGAACATTGTGCACATCCACGTATTGCCCCGCATCCGATTCTATTGTCAGGATCGGATGGAGCGAGAAGCGTGCGGTGGGTGGACCGGCCTGGACCTAGGGAGCGATGCAGCGTGCTGGATCTATGAAGCGTGCTTCATCCCCGAAGGTCACCACCCATCAAGCCACCCCAACCCAACCCAACCCGAAGGTCCCAATCTGCCCCCCATTC